AAGCTGAGTGACTATTTTGTAAATTGTCCAGCTCTGATAGACTGCGCGGATGCGCAGGCTGGTCTGGATCCATGCTGGTCACAAGCCAATTATGTTGGTTTTGTCATGACACGGCTCATTTATTGACTGAATTAAAAGCAAACATTGCAGATTACATGGGTAGAATCTGTTGATGCCAGTAGATAAAGGGTTCAATTAATAAACTGATTATAATGTGAATCTTCAGTTAAGAAAACTAAAACAAAAAACTTTAAAAACACCTACATGTGTTTTAAGATCTTAAAAAATCTGAAATTTCATTTTAAAAATTCTATTTTACTTTGCATGACTTATACAAATCATGAGCACACATAAAAGTGATAACTAATTGCAACAATGAGTGGCCAAAACTGGATGTTTATATCCACTCAAATTTCACCAGGTGTGCAGCAAATTGAGTATTAATACATTACCCTAGAAATGTACTTTTATGATCTTATTCATGGTTAAAATTATTTTATTACCAAAAGAAAAAGAGAACAGAATCGTATCTATAGCCATAAGTCAATATAGAACAGTTACATTTCTTTTTTCTTAGTTTGCATATATTGAACAGTTGAGTTTCTTTTCAGACATTCAATCAATCAAAACGCCAAATTTTGTCATTTTTCACAATCATTGTGATTTGTCAAACAGTTCTTGGCAAGCAGTTTCTTTTAAAACATGCTAAATTAATCATTTATGATAAAAAAGAAAGTAATTTTACTCTGACAACACAAGAAGAAAAAGACTAAAACAGATTTTTGTTAAGCAAATGTGAAAAGTGACATTTCATAGTTAACATGCAAGAATAACTTGGGCTAACAACAAGGGGCATTTGTTCCATTGAACGCTTGTGTCTGAGGGACAGGTTAAATCATTTAAAGATACAGAAATAATTTTTTTCATTTCTAGCTCTTTTAGAAAAGGCAAATCAAGTTTATCAAAAAATGTGAATGGTTTGGTCCGAATTGAAAGTTTAAGATATTTAGCATGGTTAGGCACTTGGGGTAACATAATAATACATCTTATCAATGTTTCAATATATAAAACAATAAGACAGAAAATAATTTGTAACAACCATTGTCAAAACACAATGTGCATTTCATAAAAAATTCAATAAAATAAATGTACATGTATATGTAAAATACTGACAACTATTATAGCTACATAATGCAGTCTTCGAAATTAACGCCAGTCCGAGGCCCGAGGCCACTAAATTTTGCATCGGTCCGGTGATTATTGCAAGGTTGGTGGTCCGACGGGCCAGTAGATTTTTGGCCATGAAAAAATATTATAAGAAAAATTCATCAAAATAATGAAGCAGGGTTCTCTAAAAGATTGATCTTTTTGCCTGTTTTGCAAATGAAACCCATCAAATTCTGTCCTAAATGTTCAAAATACAGCGAGAGATGTCTAAATTGTATTGAGTAATGAAGGCCGCCATTTTTTTTCTTGGATATTTTCCGTACCGCATCGTACAGTTACGGAAATTAAACCATTGTTTATTATGGTCATTATTTAGCTATGATTTTGTGATTATTGAGTTAAGTAAATATTTTGTGTGAAAGTGATTTGTTTGAAGCAAATTGCTTTGTTCATGTTCAATTCTAGTAAATTTTGCCTAAACATTTGGTCCTTATAAATTTTTCAAAGCTGTCAACATATGGCCCAAAATACAAGAAGTATTATGCTTCTTTCAAAATTATCAAAGGAAGCATGATAAAGTGTTTTCCTTTACCCATCAATTTATTACCTATCTATGTATTTGGTCCGGCTAAAAATCACCAGGTCCAGTAAGATTTGAAATTTTACTGGCCCGAATGTCCTTTGCTTTTTAAAGTTTTTCGTGAAGACTGATAATGTCATTTCACTCAATAATGACAATTATTATCATCTAAAACATGTATATACATTCATATTTCACAATTTCTCTTTTTGAAATGTACTAAATGCTGTACAGAAAATCAACCTCATAATTAAATAACATTTAGAATAGATGCACATATTGTTTGGTAATTTTAAGATAAAATTAGGAATACTCAACAAATTTGGCAATAAACAAGTCATGTGTTCAGATTCAATTTTGTGAGAACGTCAGAATTAAGAATATATGTGTGAATCCATTTATATACACAAATGTTTTAATATGACAATTTCTTAAGAAATCATGACTTCAGATTTATCATGTAATAAATGCTTAATTATAAGGAAAGAGAGTAAACAAAAACTTGAGCCAAATTTCTGAATATTAAGAGCTGCTGTTAGGTAAAATCTTTTATTTTATTCAAAATGAATCTAGATAAATCCCTTCATTCAAAATACAAATCTGTATCAGGTTACTGAGGTTAATAAGCTTTGTAAAGAGATATTGAAAAATAACACTGATTTACAAGTCATATGGTTGCACACCTGAGCACTATTAATGATACAGTGACTTTCTAGTGTTAATTTTGAAGGAAGACCTCGAGTGCCTTTCATGCATTATTTTTAGTCATGTGCAAAGCACCTGAGTAGGACCACCAACTGTCAGTAAATCTGATGTAGAACTTCACATGAGAGAATATCTAAAGTCTTTTTACAGACACAAACTGCAGGGAGGTCATTGGAAATTGGTTAAAAGTTGGCAAAGTTACTCTATTTGCCACTGAGATGAAGGCATAATTATTACACTGTCTGAACTGTCCTATACATATTATGCTAAAAAACATAATATTTTAACTGATAAACATTTTAATGAGTTCATTGATAATATCATATACATCTGCATATAAACATCATGTTGTACCAATTAATGTAATGTTAAAACTACTTTCAAGAAAAGACTATTGTATGGGGCATAGGATGAGGAGAAATTTATTGTTTTTAGTAAATATATCAAACATTAAAAAGAGATTTCAAGGAAATATCATTTGCTTTTAGTGTTCTAGAAAGTATTTTAAAAAACTATATGTAACTACCATTTAGTTACAGGTTTTTTTTTGGTTTGTTAAAATTATAGCCTATATTCAGTCATAATTTCCCAATTGTAAATAGTATATTCTTTTCCTGATCCGCAGGAAAAAGTTCCCAATTGAAAGTTACAGAATAAAAATAATAAATATTTAATAAAAAACTCTAAATCTTTGAAAATAAGGGCGTCTTCGCTATTACGGTGCTTACATATTTAAAGATACCATCCTAGACAGTGTTTGTTTGCATTCATTTTATCACTGCAAATTTTCAGTCATGCATTTTTCCCCACTTTTTAACAAAACATTGCTGAAAATCCAATTCCATGAATATGGGTCATGCTCCCAAAATCTTGGGGAAAAAAAACCAACCCCAAGTTAGATACATTGCATATAAAAAAAAACACTGTGTTTCATGAGAATTATATAAACAGATTACAGCTTTATAGTCTCCTTTTTTATGGGGACCTAATAAAAATGAATGTATAACTTAACAACTTCTTTCTTAAACTTTGACTCTCTGTTACTTTTAATTATTACAGACCATTTATTGGTTTTAACAAAAATATAGAAATATGTATTTTAGAAATATTTCAAGTTTCAACCCAAAAAATATTAAAGGAATTTCTACTTCTTTAATAATATTTGGAACTTTTAATAACTATAAATAATGCCAAAATTTATAGAAAAGATTAACATATTTCTTGTTTGTACATTAGGGTATAAAATATAATACCGGTATGTTAATTACATAACTTTTTTAGGTAGCATCTATGAATGTTATGATTTTCATATATATCGAGGGTGTCACATTTTTTCTGTTAACCGCATCTGGTTGGAATAAAATTTGCCAAAAATCAAAAACCAGTAAGTTTTAGAAAGGTTTAGATTGATTTTAAAATATTACCTATGTTTAACTTTGAAAAAATATGACATTTTGTTTCTAATGAAGTTGTACAGACTTTTATTTATTCCAATTGCAAGCCATCTTACATTTACTTGCATATCAAATTTTGTGATTTCATTAATTTTTAACCAACACCTTCAATATATGATCACCTGATGCCATTTTATCAATGAACCATGTTGAAATGATGTCTCTTTTTGACGCATTTTGGACATAGTAGGAAAATAATCACAAAGTATTTAAAAGATAAACACTATAATGCAAAAAAAAAAAAAAAATATCTATTTCCAATTGTTATATGATGATAAAGAATTTAAGATATGAGAGAAAATGGTAGAATAACTCAGGAATTTCCTTGACTCAAATATCTGAATTAAATATGTTTTGTAAACCAGATGAGTGCAACAAAATACTAACTTAATCCCAAATCTTAGCTTTCTTTTCCATCTTTTCCAACTTTATCAGACAGCAGAGGGAAAGAAAAAATGTAAAAAATGTAGAACTTTTTTCTTCTCTTGACCATATAGACTAATTTATTTAAATGCAGATGAAATTTATAGATAAACATTTTTCTTATCATTTTTGAGTCAAGACAATGAGTGTAAATTCAAATGTTTTATATTTTCTTTCTTCAATTTCATTAGAAAGCAAAAATAAAATTACAGCTCAGTGGAATTAACTTATTTCTGAGCAAAACAAATTTGAGGCAAAAAGTAGATTAATAATCACTTCAATGATAAATTTACAAAATGTTTTACTTTAAGTGCATTGTAACATTGATAAACGAAAAACAGTCTTAACTTTTTTATTTTTGGACAATATACACACTAAAATGTCTTGTTGGTACTCATTTTCTTAGTTAGAACATTTTCCATCTAACAGACATGGTTCCAAAATGAAATTTTGGAAAAAGTTTTTTTTTTTTTGAAGAAATCATTTTTCAAATTCACAAACTGAATAATAATGTATTAAAGTGCCATACAATGACTAAAGACAAATAGCTTTTAATTTTTTTATTTCTGGACAAAACACACCCTATTAGGTACTTATTTTCTTAGTTGGAACATATCCAATCTGATAGAAGTGGTTTGCTATCTGAAATCTGATTCTTTTTTTGAATTTAATTTTTCAAAGGCAAATGACTAAGTTAATGTGCAGCAGTGAAAGTTTAGACATATTCTTTGACACAAATTCATTCTAGATTCATTATTTTCATTAAATGTGTTCTAAAACATGAGGTAGACTACTTTTGGCACTTTTTGTGAACACACACCAAAAAACAACATCAAACATCATTAAAGTCAGATTCTAAACTTATTCTATTTTTTCTAAGAATTTCTCTGTATGTTTTTTCTTATGTGTCTTTAGAGCACCACTTTGATTACTTGCATAATCACAAACATCACATTTATAACATTTCTCTCCTGTATGTATTCTCTTATGTGTCTTTAGATAACCACTTTGATTACATGCATAATCACAAACATCACATTTATAACATTTCTCTCCTGTATGTATTCTCTTATGTGTCTTTAGAGCACAACTATGATTACTTGCATAATCACAAACATCACATTTATAACATTTCTCTCCTGTATGTATTCTCTTATGTGTCTTTAGATTACCACTTGAATTACATGCATAATCACAAACATCACATTTATAACATTTCTCTCCTGTATGTATTCTCTTATGTCTCTGTAAATTACCCCAATCATTACTTGCATAATCACAAACATCACATTTATAACATTTCTCTCCTGTATGTATTCTCTTATGTGTCTTTAGATTACTACTTGTATTAAATGCATAATCACAAACATCACATTTAAAACATTTCTCTCCTGTATGTATTCTCTTATGTTTCCTTAGAGCACAACTTTGATTACATGCATAATCACAAACATCACATTTATAACATTTCTCTCCTGTATGTATTCTCTTATGTCTCTTTAGAGTACCACTTTGATTACATGCATAATCACAAACATCACATTTAAAACATTTCTCTAATGTATGTATTCTCTTATGTTTCTGTAAATTACCCCAATCAATACTTGCATAATCACAAACATCACATTTATAACTTTTCTCTCCTGTATGTATTCTCTTATGTGTCTTTAGATTACTACTTGTATTAAATGCATAATCACATACATCACATTTAAAACATTTCTCTCCTGTATGTATTCTCTTATGTGTCTTAAGATAACCACTTGTATTACATGCATAATCACAAACATCACATTTATAACATTTCTCTCCCTCATGTTTACTTTTATATACTGCACTTTTACTATTTGTACAATAAAGATTATTTTCCTTCCACAATTTTTCTTCAGCATTTTGATGTGGACCTTCATACTGAAAATTTTTATTTGGTTTTGTAGGTTGTTCAGAGTGATTTTTTACACCAATATAACGTTTTTTCTGCCTTTCTTTAGAATATTCCTCTGCATCATTTTTTCGCAGCCATGCATCAAGCACTTGAATATCAGTTTGAGAGAGTTTGTTTCTACCATGCATGCGAAGGAGATGTCTAACATTATAAACTGCAGTGGTAAATGATGATTTACAATACACACAGGAAAAGCACTCTGAAAATAACAATATTTATTTTTTCACGATTTATTTTTCATTTGTTTCTTCTGACTTTTGTAGGTCTACTTTTTCTTATTAAATATTTTTTAATAAGTATTACAAATAGCAACAATTTTTTCCTAATGTTTAATAAGAGCAGACTATATTTTTAAATTTAGCATTGTAACAGGAAAAGAGAAATGGGAATAATTTGCACAAAACCTTTAAAAAAGTTCACTTTTCACTCAGTAGATATTAAAGATGCATCAATTCAACAGATCTGTGAATTTAGAAAAGGCCTACATTTGGCATATATTTTGGCAAAGAATTCAATGAATCAAAATCTAAAAAATAAATTATCTCTAGCAAGAACAAAAAGAAAACACCCTTATAATCTCTTTCATAAGTCACGTACAGTTATTTAACTATCGAGAAAAATGTAAACAAAATACATGTACCTTGTCCATTTACAAGTTTAGGTCTGATAAGTAGGTTTTTGTCACGCACAAGTCCGAGTTCCCTCCCATATTCATTGCCATACCAGCAAAGCAGTTCAGTTCCAGGGAATATTGTTTTGTATGACCGATAATAAATATTGCCCTTGAATTGAAATGCTACAAGATTTTGTTCAGATTCACTGGGTGCACAATTAACATATCTCATCCAGTTTGAAGTGACTTTATCTCTAGCATCCACAAAATGGCTCGGCTTGCCATTTGCATAAATCTACAACAACAAAAATAAGCGAAAATTCCAAAATTATATGTTGATGTGATTATGTAATAGGTTACAAGTTTTTGCTAAGATTAGACCTAATAAAAGTTTTAAACTCAACATTTGACTTGACAATTCATATATTTTGGTAATTATGTTTTCTTTCTTTGAAGTTAAGATTTCTTTTCTTTGAGGTTTAGATATTGTTATGTATGCAACATATTACATGTAAATAATTTATATCTGACCAGTTGGTATTTCCAATATTATCATTGTTCTATTTTTAGAACATTAACTACATGTATGTACTAGAACTTTCTTAACTGTTCCTTTAGAACATAATAGACCTTTCTGGACTTTTCTTAGTTAATATATATAAAGTGACATTTTTCATTACCTTTACCTTTTAAGTCATCAGTGATCTATTAAGTCATCAGTAACCTTTTCAGAAATCAATATATTTGGAGTATTATTCAACTTGGATATTACGTGATTTATTGGAGCTTGGATTATTTTAAAAAAGTTAAAATTATTCTTGTGGATTTTATTGTGGGAATTTATTCTAAAGTGTTCTTGGATTTAACTTGGATTTAACTGTGCTATTCAAAAAGGATCATTCCAGGATCAGATAAGACATTTTAATTTTACATTTTTATTTGGACTTCAGGTATTTGTACACATTATTTGTTATTTTGATTTTTCTTTAATAATTTTTCTGTAATAAATTTGTTATTGTTACAAGTTTGTTGCTGGCTTTTCTTTCTCGTTACGCCTGGCTCGTAACAGAAATTGGGGGCTCGTCCGGGATTGAATATTTCTTTTTGGCTACATTATTGGAAATTATTACCGTTTATTTTACATTTTATTATTACCGTATTTACTCATCTGAGTTGATATCATAGTTGTTCTATTAAGTGTGCTTTTCAATTTTGAAATTTTTTTAACACACCATATTTAAGTTTAAAACCAGCAGCAAGCAGTCATGTCTTTTGATTTAGAAAAGTTTGTAGCTGAACCTTCCCAGGAGGTATTAGATTTGGCTAAGAAAACTGATTTGCTTGATCTTGCAAAAAAGTTTAATTTATCAGAAATTAAATCTTCAATGCGTAAACAAGAAATTAAAAATCTTCTGATTCATTATTTTGTGGATGAAGATATTTTTGGACAAGATGCACTTTCTCACATTGTTGAAAAACACTCTGAAATTTCTGAAATAAAAATAAAAGAGCTTGAACTTCAATTTAAATTTGAACTAGAGAAAATGCAGCTAGAAAAAGAAAGGGAAGAAAGACAGTTAGAAAAAGAAAGGGAAGAAAGACTGTTAGAAAAAGAAAGGGAAGAAAAAGAAAGGGAAAGACAGTTTGAAAAAGAAAGGGAAGAGAGAAAATTAGAAAAAGAAAGAGAAGAGAGAAAATTAGAAAAAGAAAGAGAAGAGAGAGAATTTCAGTTAAGAATGAGAGAATTAGAAATCAAAGAGAGAGCAAATCAGTTTGAACATAGAATAAATTCAAAATTTGATGTCACTAAAAATATTAGGCTTGTTCCACCTTTCCAAGAAAAAGAAGTTGATAAGTATTTTCTTCATTTTGAAAAGGTTGCTGAAAATTTAAAATGGCCAAGAGAGCACTGGACATTACTTTTACAGAGCGTCTTAATTGGTAAAGCTCGTGAAATCTATACACAACTTACTGTTGAACAAAGCTCTAATTATGATAATGTAAAAGAATTAATTTTGAAAGGTTATGAGTTAGTACCAGAAGCCTACAGGCAAAAATTCAGAAATTCTAAGAAAGAAATTGGTCAAACCCATGTCGAATTTGCAAGAGAAAAAGACCAACTTTTTGATTGGTGGTGTCTATCTAAGAAAATAAATAAAAATCATGAAAAGCTCAGACAGCTCATGTTAGTTGAAGAGTTTAAACGTTGTCAGTGTTCGACACTAACGCAGTCCCGCGGTCCCGAGGACTCCAAAAATTGGCAAGGGATTTCTAAAGTTCCAAGTCAGATGTCCCGTTGGGACTTTAAAGTTTTTAAATAAAAAATATACTAAACAATTAAAGCTGATCTTTAATCAACTTTAAAGTATTCATTTAAGATGGTCACCTTGCAAAAAAGTATTTATTAAACATGATAAACTTGAAAAAAGTAAACCGGAAATGAACCATTGTTTACAAAACACGAAAATTCTCCACATACCAAACATTCCAATGTCAGTATTTGCCGATATTTTGCTGTATTTTTAACCACCATAGTAAAAATGATTTGTTTTATATAGTTTTGTTTAATATTTGATGTTTACTATGGTGTTAGAACACTTACACCATGAAAAAAGTCGGCATTTCCATAATCAATAGTGTAATAGATTTCGGATAAACAAATTCGGATGCGTGATTTTTTTTTGATATACAGATTTTGTGATTATATTTAAAATGCAATAATAATAACTTGTTCCTGTCTTTGTTATCATGACATTGATATCATTATGTAAAGGAATTATATAAGTTAGGAATTTATTATGAGCAAATTTAAAAAGCTTTTTTGCAGTAACTCATTTTCTTCTCTTGACTAGTTTACACTGATTCAAGTAGACCTAATACAGCAATATTATAATATCAAATGAAAATTACTTACTGCATAACTACAGACAAAGGGACAAAATGAATTATATGTATTGAAGTCAGTAATATTTACGAAATATTTTACAAGACCTATAAACACTTCCGACTGCATGTATGATTTTGTTACCAAACCTAATAATGCTGGAAGGAAACATAAGAGGACTTCGTTCCTTAATTACTTAATGTTAACACAGATGGGCAATGATCAACATCCCAAAAAGTAGAACGAAAGAACAATAAAAATAAGTTGCATATCAATACTGATAGACAAAGGTTATTGCTTATAAATTCTTATATAATTATATAAAAAAAATCAGGGACTTCCAACTTAGGGAAGGGATTTTTGAATTCAAAAACAGATGTCCCGTTGGGATTCCTGGCTAAAAAGTTAGTGTCAACCCCTGGTTGTATTCACTCTGATGTTAAATCTTTCCTCGATGAAAAACAGGTAGAAAATTTAGAAGAAGCTGCCCGTCTAGCTGATGATTATTCTTTAACCCACAAAGTCTCATTTATAAATAAAGGGAAGTCCACACCCTCACATTTTAATTCCAAGTTCAGTTCTGGTAGTTTATCTGGCTTATCTAGTCAGTCAAATACTTCCAAATCAAAGTCATCTGATGAACATAAAGGTCATAGTCCCTTATCTCGTCCTGTATGCAATTATTGCAAGAAAACTGGACATCTTATATCTGATTGCTTTACCTTAAAAAGGAGGCAACACCAACGTGATGAGGCCAAACCCACAGGTCTTACCACTTCAAGGTCTGAACCTCAGTCTTGTATTGATAACAAGAGCTGTCAGAAGGACAGCGCGCTCGACTTTTTTAGTGCTTGCCTATAAAACAAAACTTTGACAGTTAAGGGCACACAAGACTTTAACTAGGAATTTCTAAGTACAAATCAAGAAACATTTTCACAGAATTATCTTCTCTTGCTTACAGATAGGTCTCATGATGGCACATAAGAACTCCAACTTCCAAAGTAATATCTCAAATGGTTAGGTCAACAAGTGGACAAGAATGAAAATTTTAACTGAGTTTCTAAGTCAAAAAGGGCCATAATTCAAATAAAATCCTTAACAGAATTACCTTCTCCTGCCCATGTTTGGGACCATGATGGTTAAACAAGTATTCCAACTTTCAATTTAAA